TGGATATACTACCTACCTGTAGGCAGGGGCTGAACTACTGCTTGCAATGAGCCAGCTAAAAGGAGAGAGCAGCCCTGGGGGTGGGTATGCTCACTCAAATTGTTTAGGCCTGCAAGATAATTAACTGTCGGTATGTAAATACAGCTTATGATGGGATGGGGAAGGAATCTGGAGTGTGGTTATGTAAATCCAATTCAGCCAGGGCTGATCGAGGATCAGTTGTTAGAATGGAATGTGGTGTATTGTCACTAATTTGGCAGTTGTGGGGTCAGAAATCATGCTACCCCTAAATGTAGGAACTGTAAAATATGACACCAGTGCTGCAGGAGAGACACGATCATTGTAAGGGGTCTCAGATAAACAAGCCTCGCCCTTCCAGAGCTGAGTGAACTGAATTGAGGGAAAGGACTTGAGCCAGCCTGCTTCATGCCTGGCAGGTGTGAGCTGTAAGACTGGTTCGACCTGTCTCTCCTCCCCCCGGTCTCCGCCCCTCCGTGTTCTAAGGATAGATTTAAAGCAGACTCCATCAGGAGTCTTTTTGCCAGCCTAGGTGGTGGATAAAGAGTTGAAATCACTAAGAGCTGAAGTCACTGGTTTGGCTTCGAGCCAGACCCATCACGACCAGCAGAGCAGTTGGTGGGAGCGACCAGCGGGCGGCCGGTAGAAGAAGCAGCAGGTGACAAGCAGAGTGGCTGGTGGAACTGACCAGCGGGTGGCTGGTAGAAGAAGTGGCAGGCAGCCAGCAAGGCGGCTGGTGGAGCAGCAGACCACAGGAGCAGCACAAAGGCAGCATGGCCTCAGGCTCAATGAGTGGAGTCATCAGGGTCATGTGTCTGGGGCTACATCTAGACTACACCTCTCTATCAACAGAGAGTTGTAGATTAGGCACGCTGAAATTGCTAATGAAGTGGGGATTTAAATATCCCATGCTTCATTAGCATAAACATGGCCGCCACTTTTTTATGACACAGAACTTTTAAAAAAAAAACAGCAGTCTAGATTCAGATCTGTTGAAAACAAACCCTTATTCAACAGATCCTGTAAACCTCATATTTTGAGGAATACAGGATCTGTTGGAAAAGGGTTTATTTTCAACAGATCCGCGTCTAGACTGCCAGGTTTTGTTTTGTTTTTTCGAAAAAGCTCTGTGTTGAAAAAAAGCGATGGCCATGTTTATGCTAATGAAGCGCGGGATATTTAAATCCCCGCTTCATTAGCAATTTCGACATGCCTAATCTACATCTCTTGGTCGACAGGGAGGTGTAGTCTAGACACACCCTGGGTCCACACTGACTGGACACAGCTGTAAGTGAGGCATTTGAAGTAGAGTACGGAGAAAGTTTGGGTATGTGAATGGGACCCTTACATTGTTGGATTGGTGAGCCTGAGAGGCAAGGGACATTGCTCAATCCATTTGAGCTGGGATGATTACTCATGGGTTGGTTATGAACTCTGTTGTGGTATTTTCCCAAGCTAATGCCATGTGACCTCTCTCTCTTTCATTAAAAGTTTCTTTTCTACACTCAGACTCTGTACGTGTGAGTGGAAAAGCATTATCTCTCAGAGGCGCCCAGGGATGTGTGAATTTTCCAGGCTACTGGGTGGGGGCTCAAGCCAGTTGTGGGTGAGATGGATGAAAAGGGGCCTCTAGATATTGAACCTGGCCCTGGCTGCTGCTGGCACTACCTGGCAGAAGGATTACATACCCACTAAGGAGGGGAATCCTATTGCTTGTTTTGAAGGTAGGTTAGGCACTAAGAAGCCCCTTGTTAAATATAGCAAAAGCTAATATAAATGAAAAAGTTCTTTGAAATGCATGTAATGTAGCAGCTTTGTATGTACTTTTTGGAAGAAGAGCAGTGCATATTTTGGATGACTGCCTGGGAAATTCCAAAGGGTTGAAAATGTACAGATGCCATTGATTTTAGTGGGAACCAAGGATACTCAGTATTACTGAAAAAATCAGACTGTTTTTCTTTCATTAGCAAACCAGCATCTTTCATTTACTATAAGCACTTATTTAATTTTTAACAGCATTTCTGTAGTGTTCATCATCAAATAAAAGAAGCTGCTAATGTGCTTTTATATGATCTAAGCAGCTAATCACAACATTTTCACAAAGGCATAAAACCCAAATCAAATGTATTATTAATACTTATAAATAATATAATTGTAAAAAATACTGAGGACATACATAATGTAAATAAACATGAAACACTGTGTAAAAATGCAAAAAGTGTTTCCTATTACAAGATGGTTCAGACAGTTTGGAATGAAATTTACATACCTATACAGCTTTAAATATTTCCCATTACCTAAGGGTGTATCTAGACTACAGGGTTTTGTCGACAAAAGTTGGCTTTTGTTGACAAAACTGTACCTGCACTTACACTACCGCCGCATTCTGTCGACAATAAGTTGACAGAACGCAGCAGTTTTGTTTACAGTGGTGGCAGCAATGCCTGGACTTTAAGGCTGCCCCTGTGATCTGCCAGAAGCACTTCCGGGTGCCTTCGTTTATCCACAGAGTGTCCAGCAGTCTGGATGCTCTTTGTCGACAAAGGCGATTGTTTTTTCAATCCGCATAATGCAGTCTAGATGCTCTTTTTTGACAGAGGCTTTATCAACAGTATCTGTCGACAAAACCTCTGTCGAAAAAGGCGTGCAGTCTAGAAGTAGCCTAAGAGTATGTCTACACTTGCACCCTCTTTTCAGAAGGGAGTTCTCCCGAAATAACCGCATCTACACCACGTTTTGTATTTCGAAATAGCGCCATAACATGATTATGCAAATGAAGCATGGGATATGTAAATCCCGGCTTCATTTGCAATTTCAAATGTCTTCATTTGCATCCCTCTAACGAAAGAGGGTGCAAGTGTAGACATACCCTAATAGAAAAATGTATCAGGCCAAATGCAGTCTGGTATAAATGGGTATATAATTTTGTTCAAGTTCTTGGAATTTTCATGGATTAAATTGGTCCACTGTCCAGTCAAGTAAATAAAGTTTTGGGTTCTCATTAGGAGTTGTCTCCATGAAGCACTTTTGGAGTATTATCCTGACATATCCCTCTTGTTTACCTAGGCACACTGATTCGTTCAATAAAGCCTTTACTTACAGATTTACCTGACAAGTAGTTAATAAACATTACTAAAACAGTGAACTACAATTGGTCTTTCCCACACAAAACTTAAAACTGCAAAGTTTAATACCAAAACTTATTTTTCTTTAGAAACTACAGAATGACACAATTTTTCATCAACAATATTAAGAACTAGTTTTGCTAATGCAATGCAATTACCAAACAGTTGCCAGCATTTCAACATCTTTCTGTTCTCCGTGGTCCATTCTTTTGTGTAATGTTCAATTAATTATAAGTACAATTTTAAAATAATTTACACCTTATACACTTAACCTATAGGTCATGAATATTTATTTTACAAAACTCTTGTAATTTGGAATTGTTCTTTTTTCCCCTTGATAGGACTCAAACAAGGCACTTATTAATCTACAAATAAGCAACATGAAGACCTCATTTGTTATGCTCTTTTTATTATTTGCAGACTTAAACATTTAGATTGTTCTGCATTTGGATTGTTCCAAGTAATTTCACTAAAATTTTGGGCCTGATAGCTTTCAAAGGATAATATGCCAAATTCTGTGGTAATTTATACTGCTTGCAATCCATTTAGTTTGAACAGAATTATATAGGATATAAATCACTACAGACTTTGACAGAATGATTTTTTGTGCTAGAAGAAACACACTGCAGTGTGCAAATTTGTGAATATCTTGTGCCAGATCTGGAAATTAATGCGCAGCATGATTATACATTCCTTCTACCCAAAATAATCATGTACAAACCTAAAGAAAAATAAAACATGTAAGGCAGATAACCCCTGGCTATTTCAATCTTCAAAAATTTATTTTTTGTTAATTACAATTTGCAATACTAAAATTTAGGTTCCCTTTGGTGACATCATGCTGGGTCAGTTGGTGAAGGTATATTTTAAACATAAGCTTACACAAAATATAGTATAATTTCTCCTAGAAGCTAAATGGAGTTTTTTCCTCATTAACTTCAGTTATCACTTAGCAGTATTAAATAGCATTAAAAAATCTTCCACGTCAACATACCGAAGCTAAACTATATAAAAGATAATTCTCTGCTTACTATCATCTATACTCCAGGAAGAAGCGATAGCTGGAAGCTTATATTTTGTATTTCTTTCCTCTCTTCTATACATTATTTAAACTGTGGACTGGGAACTTGCTACTGATACATGCACATCAGGGTTGGAGCCCAACCAAAAACCTGGATATACAACCACAGAACTGTGTGTTCAAAATCCAGAACTGAAAATATATGGTCTCAATATCAACAATATACAATTCTTACTGTCTCCCAAATCCAAATTTCTATCATAAGGTAGCTAAGGTGCAAAGTAATATAAGGGCACATCAATCCTTTTTAAAATGAAGCTAGACCTCTGCTATATTTTCACAGAGATTTACATTGAAAAGTACGGGTTTTTGTGAAATTTCTGAAAACAGAATTGTAAAGCAGATTTCCTAGATTCCACACAAAATCTGACAAAGCCCCTTCCTTATGAGCATTTCTTTTTTCAATTGTCACAGTAAAACCTCCAAGGTGCTAAAGACAATGAAAAAAAAAAGTTGGAGCTGATTCTCTTCCCATGTATGCTTTTGAAGTTCTACTGAATTCTTTAAAGTGATATCCAATTTACAAGGGAGCAGAGAAGAGAATTCCATTATATTTCAACAGGAATTAACATGAAAGGGTTATGCCACAATTTCTAATAATGCATTTACCTACTAAACAGCAAATAATATAGACGTGAATGCAAACAACAGAAATGCCCTGCACATGTGCACAGATATTGTATATATTATACAGTATTTTGTTTTTAGTTTCAATTTACAATATAAACAATTAAAAAACTAAACTACAAATATTTAAAAACATACACCCTGAAATCATTTGACTTTGAAATTTCAAAAATTTTAAATTGTTTAAAAAAGTACAAGTCAATTAAAAAGAGGTCAATGACTTTTTAACATGGTTTTGTTTTAATAGTTTTCAACATTGTAAAATAATTATATTGGAATATATAACTAATTCAGATAGTTGAATACTGCATTTTCCATTAACTTGGAGGGAAATTTCTGATATTCTCTTGGATTGTTCAACCTCTTAAAGTAGCTACACACATTGTTTTGCTATGCTACATGCTTTTCAGAAAAAAAAAAGAAAAAAGAAATAAAAACAAGAGAGCCCTTTGAAAAGATTGTATGTTAACAACTTACTTGAACACGCTGCAAAATATGGCAGGTAAGACACTTCTGCTATAGTACTAAGCATACACAGAAGTTTCATGCTTAATGTTTATGAAGTGGCAAACAGTGCAAAGATATGGCCACTGTTGTTGTTTTTAATAAACTTGTTTTCATTGACTCATAGTTTCACTGTTCTGTCGCTACTAAAGCTGTTCACTGTTGTCTGTGCTGCTTTCTTATGTCAAGTCTCAATCAACTGATGCTATTATGCATGGTCCTTGCTAATGATGATATTTGATGTGAATTACTGACTCACATATTCTTTCCAGATGTTATAAGTTCCCCAAAGCCCTCTTGATGAGAAAAAGCATATGCAGATCTTCTTGAGGTTGTTCTGGACACCCGACGCATGTGTCTTTGTAATGGTTTCTGCTTCCTTCTAGCCCTCTGCAACTTCCGAACCTTGGGAGGGAAAGTTTCTATTGGTATGTGAAATTATTATTGTATTATAAACTCTGGCTAATTTTTAGGTAACACTTATACTGGTGAAGCCTTTATAATAAAAAAAACAATTAAAATGGAAAAACAAAAGCAACATCATAGGTGAAAGATTTTCATTGGATTTCAAAGTAAAACTGTGTGTTGAAGCATGATGTTCTGTAGGGCTGAGCAAAGGCCTTGAGGAAGATTCTGTGGTATGCATCTAGAGGCCCAGCATAGAACTTGTAGCCCAGGGAGACATAGGACTAAGATGGCTTAAACCACTTTTATACACTCCGGCTACGTCTACACTGGCATGAATTTCTGAAAATGCTTTTAACAGAAAAGTTTTCTGTTAAAAGCATTTTCGGAAAAGCGCGTCTAGATTGGCAGGATGCTTTTCCGCAAAAGCACTTTTTGCTGAAAAGCGTCCGTGGCCAATCTAGATGCGGTTTTCCGCAAAAAAGCCCCGATCGCCTTTTTCACAATCGGGGCTTTTTTGTGAAAAACAGTACTATGCTGTCTACACTGGCCCTTTTGCGCAAAAGTCTTTCGGAAAAAGACTTTTGCCCAAACGGGAGCAGCATAGTTTTTCCGGAAAAGCACTGATGTATTTACATGAGATCGTCAGTGCTTTTCCAGAAATTCAAGCGGCCAATGTAGACAGCTGGTAAGTTTTTCTGGAAAAGCGGTCGATTTTCCGAAAAAACTGGCCAGTGTAGACACAGCCTCCCAGTCCCAGGGTGTCTAGCATAACTGCAACAGCCCTGAGGCCTCTCTGAGTTATGGCAACTTCCATGGGCTACCCTCTGTGCAACAGCACTGTCTGGAATCTCAGTGCTACACTCCTGCTTCCTATGCCAGAGTTTATGGAGAAGGCCTTGGAAAACAGACTTACGGCTGTCTTCCCCAGTGCTTGCACCAAGGGACTACTTCCATAGCTGAACCAGCACTTTTAGACCCCTTTATGCCATTCTGGCTCAGTGAAATACAGAGGCCAGAATAAAGCTAAAAATCCATCCCCCTCCAGAAGCCAAGAGTTCTAATCACGCTGTCACTCTCTGTGTATAAGGGACTCTCTGTCTTTCACAAACCACTTGATCTGTCTCTTCTTCCAGATCCGCAGAATGGGAATAATACTTAGCTACCTCAAATGTCTGTTATGAGGAGTTTTTAGTTAATGTCCATAATAGCACTTTGAAGATGTGAGGTACTATGTAAGTGCTATGAAAAGCAGGGGACCTAGACCTAATTTATCACGTTGGTGACACGGACATTTGCATCATTTTGTCAACTCCTTTTCCCTCCTCCATAATTAATGCTTTTAAATTAAAAAAAAAATTCAAAATATATGTTGTTATCGAACTGCGACCTCCCCTGACATTCTGTTACACTTATTTATACCCAATAATTATAATGAATATTAGAACACAATGGGGATTTTTATATTGCTTACTAAAGTACCACATAGATGGAATATAATTTACAATTTTATTTTTATACATTTTTATGAATAGTGAAGGAATATCAGAAAACAATCTGTTTGTTAAGATTTGGCATGGATTAGTGTTACCTAGACTTCTATTCTAATAAAGTTTAAAACAGCAATTTATGTGAACTATTCCTCCACAGTCAATGGGATAATTCACATATGTATGGGAAACAACATTTGGCCCAAAATATATAAACTATTAAAAGATCAACTATTGGGATGGGAAATCCCTTATTATTCAGTGTTAAGAATGTAAGACCTTATTATGCTATCAGTAATTATACAGAAGCTGCCATATAAATCAATTTGCTTTAAAAATACTGGGATAACATTGCCCTTTGTGTGATTTAAATTCTTTTACATTTATAAATGAAGTTTTTAAAAGCTGACCCAATAGTCTATTATAAATTAAAGATTATTTTTCAGTTCTTGCATGTGCGAAACTCTAAATAGTGTATGGTGATACTTTGAGGGAACTAATGGTATATTTTCCCCAGTATGGGTTGGTCCTCCCTGATCCAGCCCCCTCGGGACCTGATTGGTCCTGAATGAAGGATGTTACCAGACCAGGGGAGGTCAATTCTGCTCCCCTCCCTTGACTCCACTCCCGGCCCCAACTGCCAACCCTCCTCCTGGCTACCCCTGAACTGGCCGCTGCTGCCCTGCTGGGCTCCTGGCCAATGGCCCATTTGGGCTGCTAGCCCTGTGGTTTCTGCCTGAACTCCATCCACCCCATAGCTGCCCATAGCTGCCTCTGGACCTGGCCCTGGCTGTCCTATGGCTGCCGCCAGATCTGGCCCAGATCCATCCCGGGCTGCCTTGCAGCTGCCTGGCCCTGGAACTAACCCAGGGCTGCCACTGGATCCAGCTGCTGCTCCTCTGTGGCTACTGCAGCCAGCCCATCTGCTCCATAGCAGGGCTCCCAGGCCAGCCCTCCTGCTGCCTGGGTCCCCACCTCCAGAGCTCTTTGCTCCAGGAACATCCATGGTTTGCTCCAGGAACATCCATGGTTATGCTGAACCTTGGATGTTGCCGGATCAAAGAGTCGGTTTTTAGTGGTTCTATCTGTAGTTCTTATATCAATAAGAATTCTTATAAATTCTGTCTGTTTGGTAACATTTTAGTTCTCTCCATAAAGGGAGGGATGTAATGATAAAGAAAAACACCCACATAATAGGATTAAATCATACCTTATCCGTTAGCGTTGGATGTAAATCTTCCTTCAAAAATCGGAATATTATTACAGGCATGACTGAAACTACAGTAGTCAAGAGAATGACAAGCCAAACACTTATCTGGCCCAGGGAAATACGAGCATTTCCTATTAACACAAGAAAATGAAACATGTTTGTTAGGCATACAAGGCTGTTGTTAATAGTTTGCAGTTGTGAGATATATTAAATTGCTTTTTCTTTAGGTTAACATATGTTTCTGTTACAAAAATTCTTGAATTTTTCTAGAGATACAAATGCTTACTGCTGCAATTCTTTGGCAACATCTTAAATTTGACATGATCGAAAAATACAACATGGATTCTAAAGGAGAATTTAAGTTAGTGGCTGCACTGATGAACACGTGCAGCAAGAGAAGACAGTGGTAGCACTACTATTTTTTTTCTTCATATCAAATTCCTCATCTATTTTTTAATTGTCAGATAGTTCTGTTCAAATGCCCTGATGACAATCTCCACTTTTTGGACCAATACTCTGATTGCCTTATTCTTTTTTCACATATGATTCATGAGAAAGTTACATTTAAAGTATCTACTCTCAATGAGACACTCATTTTGAAGCATCATCATCAAAATATATCAATTAGCTTTACTGCTAGAGCCACATTACAAGCCATGGTCTAAAGGACAAAAGATCTATATCCAGTTGCTTGTCATATGAGCAATCCAACAGACATTTAACTAACACTTTCATTAAGAAATAAACACATTTTCAACTCATCTCGTTAATTATTTTCATTTATTTAATACTACTCAATTTCCCTCCCAAACCACACCCAGGTGCTCTATACTGAGTAGCAATTTTCTGTTTATCATGATGTGTTGACCATCATAGCAAAATTGTCCAACCTACACTATAGACAGGCCTCAGTGGAATTATTCAGCTCAAGAGTAATTATATTTCCAGTTGACCATTTAAGTTGCTACTGGTGAGTTTTCTAATAGTATCCTATGGAATAAAACTATTGACCCATTTGTGCCATCAAAATCATTCTACAACATTCAACCATGACTCTGATTATCAAGATTTCCAAGCATACAAGGTAGCGTGATTATCTGCAATATTAAGAAAGGTTTATATTCTTCTAGGATTTAGAAGACACACTTTTAAGCTAACATTATTCAAAATTTGATTGGAAATGCACACAATGTAAGCAATGTAGGACTGGAATTTGTTTATGAAGGTTTCTCTGAGGTTTGGGTAGTGACAAGTATTCCTGTTCCAGAGGATTTTCCTGGGTGATTCAACCTGTATCATACTATCAAATTTTATCTGGCTCCAGCTATCTCCAGCATAAATAAACTCATCTTAAGTCATCAAATAGCTTTGGAAGTTTCCTGATGCTTTGAGCTTCTTGGCACTGTGAGAAAAAAAATCCATTTCCTGTAGCTTTCATTTGGCTACCAAAATGCATTTGAAAGAACACAGTAATCATCTGACTCAGTGATTATTGAAGTGGACTTATATGTCTGCACATACTACATCTTCTCAGCAATTGTTCTGACCCCATTGTGCAGGGGAGTTTTATGGATGCCTGGGATTGTGGGTGTTCTCGCTAGTGCTCTGAGCTTTAGTAACAGGCAAGAAAGGAGGGAAAAAAAAGCTCTCTAAAGCTCTCTAAAATGTAAATTTCACAAATGTTCTTCATTCTCTTTATTGTTTCCAAGGCCTCTCAATACAGTTAGGATGCTTTTGTACACTTGCAAAGCATTAACATTACTTGAGCAATATCAGTTCAGTTAAGTAAAATTTCCCTCCCATACCTGCAATTCTTCTATGTACTTATGAGATCTCACCCTATATAGATTGTGGCAAATTGCATAAATATTGTCTATATAAATCTCATATGAGGTAACAGACTCACCTACAAAAGGAAAGTGGTTTGGGAATATACCAAAAATCCCATTACTGTGCATTGCAAATAAAATAGCAAAATACACAGCTATACTACCCAAGATGAAAAAACGATTGATGGCAGTCCAGTAACTGGTATCCAGGACTATCTGCAAATAAAATGAGATAAAACATATTATACAAACAATCTTTACGGTTTGGAAATATACTACCGTCTTTTAGCAAATATACCCCACACCCGAGAATAACCCACACCCGAATATACCCCACGGTTTTTGCAATTTGAGTAAAAAAATCTTGTATACCCCGCGCACGAGTATAACCCGGAGAGTATACAAGACTTTTTTTCGAATAGTGCGGGGCAGGGAGGGCTTCTACGGGTGGTGTGGGGGGAAATTAGCCACCCTCCAGACGAGAATTAGCCACCCTCTGGATGGGGGAGCACTCACTACGCCTGGTTCCCGCACAGCTGCACAACCTCCGGGCACTCACCCTTCTGGGTCCCGCGCAGCCACACAACCTCCAGGTGGGGGAAGGAGAGTGCTCCCCCACCCCTTCCTGCAGCTGCGCAGCCGCCAGCCTCTAGCCTCTGGGTGGGGGAGCGTTCATCCCCCGGTTCCTGTAAAGGAGCATTCCCCCTGCCCCTTCCTGCGGCTGTGCAGCCTCTAGCCTCCGGGCAGGGGAGTGCTCATCTCCCGGTTCCTGCGCAGCCGCAGGAAGGGGCAGAGGGAGCGCTCCTGCAGAGGAACCGGGAGATGAGCGTTCCCCCGCCCAGAGGCTGGAGGCTGTGCAGCAGGGGAAGGAGCGGGGGAGCGCTCACTACCAGGTGAGTAAAAAAATGTTGTATACCCCGCACCCGAGTATACCAGGCAGGGGGCTGCGGGGTGTGTAAAAGCGAATATAACCTGCAGGTTATATTCACTAAAATATGGTACATAACTTAATCAGTGGAGTAAGATGTATCTAAACAGAGAAGGGATTTGGGATTTTTTTTAAAAAGTGATTCAATGTTCTGCATCTGTTTGGCACTTTTTAATTTTTCCCATCGCATGTTCTCATTTTAAAAACTTTTAATTAAAGATTTAATTGAAAACTGCACCAAAACTGTAGCAGATAACTTATTTAATCTCTTCCACCATACATACATAAATTTTAGGAATTTAGTTTAACTTCCAAATGAAATGTTCTTAAAAACACTTTTTAAATGGGCAGATTAATACTTACGTCTGAGATTATGTATATTCAAGTCCAGGCACAAGTTCTTAGTTACATTCAAGTCAGGAAAGCAAGATTTGTATCTTCCAAACAATAAAAATGTAAATTTAGGAACTAAATTTAGGAACTAAGGTAAAATAACTTTAATTATATGCCACCATGTGGCTCACTTGACTTTTGCATATTTTTGTGCAGGGAGAAAAATTAGTTTATAATAAATAACTTTGTGAAAAGTAATGAGCAGTCCTGTGGCACCTTAGGCTCTGTCTACACAGTGTTTCTTAAACTTTTTAAGACTGAGGAACACCAAACAATAATTTTTTTTAATGAGAAACACCAAACATTTTTTGTGGACAAAAAAAAAGGTCACCTGCTCCTTTAAAGACAGCCATTTGTTTTCTATGACACATCTCCGACTGCCTCACAGCACACCAGTGAGCTGTGGAACACTGTTTAAGAAACACTGGTCTACACTGTAGAGCTTTTTCGGGATACTGGAGGTATCCTGGAAAAGCTATGCCTCATCCAAGGAACGCATCCACTTTTTCGGAACAGTTTCCAAAAAAGTGGACCTGCTCTTTGGGGAAAAAGGGATGTTCCAAAAGAGGAGGTTTTTCCAAAATATGGCTCCGTATAGATGGGCCAAATTTTGGAAAAGCCACTTCCAAAAAAAAGCAGAAAAAGATACGCAAATTTCAGTTTGCTTATCTTTTTCCAACTTTTCTTTGCACTCTACACATAGCTTTAGAGACCAAGAAATATATCATGAGCTTTCGTGGTGTTCACCCACAGGAGATATGGTTTTTTTTTACTTTTATATTTTTTCTGACAGTTTATTCAGCAGAGTAGTGATTGACTCATTTCACCTGCCTGGCTGTCATTGGGGCAATCACTGCACTTGGCTGCAACACTATGGGCATGTCTGTATTACAATTAAAAATATGTGACTGGCCCATGCCAGCTGACTCAGGCTCACAGGCACAGGAAAGCAGATGAGGACCTCTGGAGAGAGCACATTGCCATCCTGTGAGCCCTGCAGCACTCCCTGGACCAGCAGGACTCGAGACTGCAGGAGGACTTGAAGCTGTGCTGAGATGCCTGGCAGGAGCTGCTGCAGCAGAGCCAGACCACGCGCACAGCTTTCACCGCCATCCTTGACTGACTGGTGGCTGTTCCTGATCCCACTCCTGTTCCTGCTCCTGCTTCTGCCCTCCCTCCACTTTCCTCTAGCCCCATCCCCCAGTGGCCATTGAGGGCCCCACAAAAGAGGTGGTGGGACCACCCAAATCAGATCCCAGTCCCATCTCTTAACCTCTCTTCCACACTCCTCCTCCCTCTTTCACCAACCTCCCCCTCTCAGGTTCTTTCCCCAGTTTCTCCCGTTACATTTACCCTAATAAAACAAAACCAGTTTATTCTTTCAAAACAAAAAGTGTGGTTTATTGTGACTGCAAGGAAGGAGGAGAGGGGAGGGGAAGGTGGAAAGAGAGGGCAGGGGAAGGGAAGGGTATGGGAGGAAAGGCACACTGGGCCACTATAGAGGCCCCTTCTGGGGAGGCCCAGGGGAGAGTCTCTCAGCTGGCCCTGACTGAAACTCTCCTTCAGGATCCCCCGGATGCATACAGCCCCCTGATGGGCCTGTCGGATGGCAGCCATGTGCGGCTGCTCAAAGGCCCTGCCAAGCCACACAGTCTCTGTCCCTCCACTCCCATCCTGGCAGGAACTTATCCCCCTTAGGTTCCCAAAGGTTGGTGGAGGACACAGCATGCAGCCATCACTTGGGGGATGTTCCACTCCCTGAAGTCCAGCCGGGTGAGGAGGCAACAGAACTTCCCCTTCAGATGCCCAAAGGCGCCCTCCACCATAATGGCCTGCTGAGCCTGGTGCTAAAACGTTCCTTGCTTTAGTCAAGACGTCTGGTGTAGGGCTTCATCATCTAGGGGAGCAGAAGGCAGGCTGCATCCCCTACAATGCACATCAGCATGTCCACATCTGGACCCCGATGGTGTGTTCAGGGAAAAAAATGCTGGCGTACAGCTTCTGGAAGAGGCTGGAGTTTTGGAAGATGTGAGTGTCGCATATTTTCTATGACCACCCAACATTGATGTCTGTGAACTGGCCAGGGTGTTTCACAAGGGCTTGCAGAACCATCTAAGAGTACCCCTTGCTGTTGATATATTCGGAAGTTCGGTAGTTGGGGCTCGGATGGGAATATGAGTGCCTTCAATAGCTCCCCCCTCTCCCTCGCAGTTGGGGAAGCCCATGGCAGCAAAGCCGGCAATGGTGAGGTCCACGTTGCCCAGGTTGATGACCATGTGCAGTAGGATGGTGTTGATGGCCCTCACCACCTGCAAGAGACATACAGATAATCACCTGGTTGCCAAGGCTCTCAGGAGTTCCCCAAGTCCAACCCTCCCCTCCCCGACACACCAGGAGCAATTCCTACTTATCCCATCCCATCTCTCAAGAGGGCTTTGTGAAGGCAGGACGGAAAAACCTCCTATGGGAAGGAGCTACCTCCACCACCACCACCACCACCACCACTCTCCCCACTTCCCTAAGAAACCCCATTCCCGCTGTTCACCACCCTCCTTGGACAATAACACAAGAGCATCATACCTGCATGACCACGCCCCCAACAGTCGATCTCCTCATGCCGAACTGATTCCCAATAGAGCGGTAGCTGTCCGGTGTGGTGAGCTTCCAGAGGGCAATGGCAACCCACTTCTGGAGGGAGATGGCGGGTCTCATGTGGGTGTCCTGTGGTGTAAGCACAGGGGCAAGCCACTCACACAGCTCCAGAAAGATGGCCTTCCACATGCAGAAATTCTGGAGTCACTGCTGGTTGTCCCACCACTCCAGGATGAACCAGTCCCACCAGTCAGAACTGGTGTCCAAACACCGGAAGTGGTGATGCACAATGTGTAGGGGAAGTCAAGTGGGGTCAAGCTGCATGAGCAGAGCCCAGAGAGAGGGAAGGAAGTGCCACGCAATGAGCTGGGGGTCCTCCTCCTGCAGGGCCACAAGCGCAGCCTGCAGAAACTGCGGCAGGAGGTGCAGCATGCAATATAAAAGCCATCAACTGCTTGGAGGCAGGTCCGGCTCTGTGGCAGGAGTGCTATGGTGTCCACAAGGGCAACCAGAGCAGGCAGAGAAAAGGCTTTGCTGTCCCTCAAGGAGGAAGGCAAAAGAGAAGAGCCTAAGACACGACTGTACAGAGGGGTCCCTTTAAGTTCAAGCAGCTACAGGATGTGACTGCTGTCCCAATGCCCTGCCTGAAGTGCTTCTGGGTGGCCTTAAGTCCGATTCAGCATCCAATGAGTGTGGACGCTGTATTTCGAAATAGCTCTGCTCTGTTTTAATGGGCATTTGCTTTGTAGATGCTTTATTTCGAAATAAGCTATTTTGGAGTATTTCTTCTGAAATATCTTATTCCAAAAGAAGTGTGCTGTGTAGACGTGAACTCTCTGTGGAAACCACGCACACCTCATCAGTTCTGTTAGAATTTCCCATGAGATTTGAAGTTCAAAGGTACCACAACTCAAGGATGTAAACCAAATGAATTAATGCTGGAAAAAAATACTTACATGAACCCGTGTGTACCAGAACCACCACCGAGCTCAGAAGAGCTCTAATATCAATAGAAGAATATCACCCCTTTATTCTACATATACAATGATTGATTGTACAGTACATGCAGACCTACTGACAGCAATTCTGGGCTCCAGGGCAGAACAGTCAATGCGCCCCCACACATGCACAAGCTGAGTCTATAGTCCATCTGTGTTGGCTGGTGCTCAGCAAGCTCCCAGCTGCATACAGGGCCCGGAACAACCCATCGTCTCTGCCCCAGGCAATGGCCACACACCAGTCCTGCTTCTTTCTGCCCCTGATCTGCCTCCATCCTGCCCCTTTTCCCAAGCCCCCCGCTTCGCCCCTCCTCTTCCTACCCCCTTCCAAACCCAAGTCCCCTCCCCTGAGTGATGTCGCACAGGGGAATAGCAGGGCTCCTGCCACCAGCATCAGGGATTGAGCCCACTCACAGTCATCAGTGAGAAGCAGAGTGACTCGGCCCCAGCCTGTTCTGCTCCCCCAGCTCCTAACCATATCACTCGGAGGAGGGGCGGAATCAACCCCCGTACTCACTGGCAGTGGGAAGTGGAGCAATGTGGCTGGGAACTGGCAGAGTGGAGGCTGTGAGAGGGGCTGGCCCGGCCCCTGCTGCTGGCACCAAGCCTTCTGCTTATCCCCTGGGCCATGTTGCTTGGGGGAGGGATTTGGGGAAATGGGCTGGAACCACAACCTGCTCTGCTGGCTGCCAGGCATGTCACTCCACTTCCCATCGCTGGTGAGAGTGGGGGTGGGCCCAACCTCTGCTTGTTCCCTGGGTTGCCCTGATCATCACGGGGTTTGAGACAGTGGCCCAGAACCATTATATAGACAGGGCCACTCTGCTTCCACATGGTGCTTATCTCAGGTGGCTCCTGAAAGCAACTGTCACACCCCTTTGGCACCAGCTCCTAGACGGAAGGGGGTAAGTGATCTCCATGTATTGCTATCCCAGGCACAACCCCTGCAGCTCCCATTGGCCACAGTTCCCGGCCAATGGGAGATACCGAGTTAGTGTTCAGGGTGAGGGCAGTGCTTGGAGACCTTTCCACCCCAGAGGTTGCAGGGACTGTGCTGGCTGTTTCCAGGAGTCTTAGCCCTGCAGCAATGCCCGGCTGCAATGTAAGTTGCCCAGCCCCCTGATCAATTGCTCTCTTTGTCCCTCCACCCCCATACCATCACAGGCCTGAATATATACAGTAATCTATGCCAGCAAAAGTAAGATTAGACTCAAGCCTAAAATGTGAAAGCTGTTTCTGAAAGATTTACAGGGATTAGGGACAAAATATGAAAAGGTAGAGAGAACTGTTTTGTGTGATTAATTCAAAAAAATAGGAGCTATAAGAGCTGGGTGTATTGTAGACTCTACCACACACTTCCCTGCGTGAGCTTGTGCAAATCACTTAGCTGCTCTGGGGTCCAGGTTCCCTCTCTGTAAAATATGGTTAGCTGTAGTATCAAACTCAAGTCAATAATACCTGTAAATTGCTTTGAGATCCTAAGAAGGAAGGAGCTATACTATATAAATGCAATTCTGCTCTGCAGTGACAGATCATTCTGAAATTCTCTATTCAATTCATGATCCAATAAATATGAACTCTGTCAATCTTTTTTCATTCTTTAATGAACATAGCACTTAAACTAAATCCTGACCTTATTTTGATTTATAGTTCACCAGCATCCCAAAGATTAATCATGTAACTACTACATACATTCATTATATGCTTCCTTATCAAAAGCACATTCTGAATTCTGGAATAATTTGTAACAATTATAGCTATTAACTACAAATAATATGGTATGTCAATGTGAGCAGTTGCTCAGTCCCATCATAACACAAGGTGACTACATAGCTAAAGTAAAACACAATACAGCGTTCTGACAGAGTATTAACTAAATGTTTCCCAGTCCCTTCCCTCCCACCCAGGGAAAGAAACCAAAAGCAGACAGGGAGCAATCTAGTAAAACTAAATTATTTCCTCCTGCCTGATGGCTCAATCAAATTTGGTGAATGTGGCTACTTTCTATCAGAAGGTCCACTGTCCCCAAAGTTACCACTCACCCTGCTCTTCCATTTCTTAATTGCGCTCATCAGGTCCCTGTTGTCTTGGGAGACATTAGACAGACTTTTCTGGAGATCAATATCTTCATGTCAGACAAGCAGGACAAGACATAATGGGGCAGATTCTCTTATTTCCAGGGGGAAACTTTAACTTGTTTACCACACAGTCAAGTTTGGGGTTTGCCCATTACAATCCTTTGCATTCAGTATTAAAATACCTCAAAAAAGGGAATGGTTTTACCTAACAGAAAACTATTATGGGGAATTGACTGTGACAAACATGTTTATTACCTTCAAAAAACTCTCTCAAAATTGTTTAAGGCCTCAACAGGAACAGTTTTCTCAGTTAAGTCTTTGATTACCAAGCTCTTTAGCCTATACTCAAAAAATAAATCATGTTGTTGAACCTGTTTCTAAGAGTAGGAACATCCTGATTTAGACTATAAAGTATATTAATATATGCATTTTAGAAATTGGCTCAATCCTCTGCAACCTTAAACCTTTAACAAGGGGGGGGGGGGGGGAATACTGAAAATTATCACCAAACACAAATCTTTATTTTTACCTGAACACTGACTATAATAACTAAAGATGTTGCCATTGTGACAGCAAAAGACTGGTAGTCAGCAATATGTTTTCCATCTTCACCAGCTGTGTTGTAAAATGCTCCATAAGGAATGAAGAAAAGGGCAAAAGAGGTGTAGATTCCATGTGCTATGCAGATGAAAAACTTGCGTTTATTGAATAGTAGATTTAGTTGCCCAAGTTCATAGAGTTTTCCATAAGCCATGCTATTCTGCTCATTAACGTCCTGTAACAAATGAATATGGATAACGTGTTACTTTAATAGTGTCAGAAAATATTTAAGTTTGTATGCCACAGAATGAGTACAATTTCTGTGCCTTTAATAAAGTGTGGTAGGGAAGAAGATCCTTTTTCCTGCTTTCTCCCACTAAAGTTGCAAAGGCTGATGAGGGCTCCACTGATATGGGGGAGTCTCTAATAAGCATGCAACCATCATAGTTAGCTCCTATGCTATGTTCCATCTCACCTGATCTTGGTATAGGAAGCAAGAGGGGCAGGTAAAGGTTGTGGATATCACACAGAGTGCTCTAGCAAGCCACATTCTCTGATGGGGACAGTCTATTGCTGAAGCTAAGGCATAGGCTTGTGAAGAACCAGTCAAAGATTCATGAGGTGACAGCCAATTTCTTAAAGAACTACTCTGCCTTATACTGGGGCCATTTGGGAACTGGATCCCAGCATTAATTAGAGTAGCCTGAGGAGCAGATAAATAAAGGGGATTTAATTATACATTATTTGCATATAAAACTGACTTATTAATGATGTTATCAATACCATTTACTGCTTCCATTTTAGACATTTTAGACAATGGTATAAATAAGATAAAATGGTACCTGGTCAAACAAACCCATAGCTAGTACAGGCAGTGAAGTATAAACAATGTTGAACAGGGTAATAAACCACGGGTCATAAACAGTCTGAAAAGAAAATGCAGGTGATAAAGAGAATAAGTGCCATTTTCAAAATTATTCACTAATATTATTTGGCACAATGGAACACACAACAGGATGCTTTTCACCTTCTCCTCATGAATAGGGTAATTCAATTTTGAAAATAGGTAAAATAATGGCTAAGAGTTTAGTGATTTGCTTTCTATGCAAGGGGTTATGCAATAGTACAGAATACTTAATTAAGAAAAATGGGGTAGATGGCAAATTCAAAATGTTTAATAAACTGCTTGGTTAGTGCATTTTTCCTTTTACGCCAAAAAAAGATGTAATATTATTCCCAGGCTGAAAATGGCAGAGTGATATGAAGGGATGATTACTGAACAGCAGTATCAAAATCCCAAACAATCTCATAGTTTTATTACACATTTGTAGCACACTTGGCTGCTTGACAGGTTTCAGGTATGTGGTATGGAGAAGGGATTTGGCCAGCTTGCATTCAAGTCAACTTCTCTTGTAACCTTTGAACAGGCTCGCTACATCTTAACTCATCAAGCAGAAAGGATGTCTGGTTCCATCCTAGGAAAATGGCCATGTCTGAATTAAAACATAAAGGACCTCTACAAGGATCAATTTGGATTTATGCCTGAACTTTCCTAGCAACTTAAAAGCACATTAGCTCATTGCTAAGTTTATACAAACAATAACTTGTGAATCCATTGAGTGATGAAGACCTTTTATCCTGCTTTTTAGTTTCCTTTGCTTGAAAGTTATAAAACTATATTATTATGAAAAGCCAGTCTTGCAGAAAACACAATATAGAATAGTAAGAGGTGCTCTGCATCATCTGTTCCTTATTTATGCAATTAACAGAAATGCACCGGAGCACTGCAGAAGGAATTAAACATATTTGAATATACACTATTCCTTTGTGAAATTTTAGACAGCCACTATATCTGTTAAGAGCTTTGGATAACTATTTCACAGGTAATATAAGCCTTTGAGACTAGTCTAAGAATCACCTGCTATTTTAATGTTTTCAACTGTGACTTGTTTATATGATTTGGCATAATACAAGGGTTTTTATATTCATGGGCAGCATAATTGTTTCCATATTAAGAAAGTTTTCCCTTACATCTCTGTAGTGTTGACAATGGCATACTGTCATCAGATACTTTCATTTCTCAAGCAAATAATGCCAGTACTTGCAGCTTGTTTGATTCATAATTTTCCTAAATAAGGCCCCAAGAAATGTTTTGGTACAATCACTTCACGTGTTTTCATGGATATCCATGAGTCCACATATATGTAACATAACATTGTAGAAGGTTGCAAGATTACAGCACAGAAGTAGTTGCCACAAGCTTGTGAACCCTGTGTGAGTATTTGAACCCCACAATGGGAGCCTGATTCAAAATCCCACTGTGGTCTATGATAGACTGTCTATTGACTTCTGTGGCAGCTTGAGTGGGCCCCAAAAGTACACACCAATCTCACAAACCAGGGCACCATTCCTGAATCCCTGTCTATAGTCTTGTCAGATTAGTGCTAGCTGGCTGGAGGAAGAGAGTAAGCTCTCTAACCTATGTATCTATTTTAGAAGCTTAGATTGCCTCCATTACCGGGATATCTTACCCTCTCAGTTTTTGCTGTACACTTTACAATATCCCTGTGAGATAGTGTTGTATCTTTGCTCTTTACATAACATTAAGAATATGAGGAAGTCAAACAGACATGGCTGGGTTCCAAATAACCTTATTCTTATATGGCTACATATATAACCTGCTACTTTAGGGCAACCTGAGGGTTCTGATGGCTTCTGCAATAGAGACTGGAATGCCCACTGGAGAGCTCCGAAACTATTTCAAGGGATACCACGCAATCCCCACTCTATAGAGGAGTACTTATTATCCCCATTAAAGACATGGAGAACTGAAACCCTATTCTGGGCTTATACAGTTGTACTTTGGCTTTCATAGCATCAAATTCACATCCCACAGTTATGGGAGGCAACTGATTCAAATATAGGTGAGAAGAGACCATAATTTATCACAACTTCAGTTGCAGAAGATGGCAGTCCTGGGGATGTGTGTGTTGGGGGGGATGTAGCTGTATGAATCATAAGTGTCAGATATATTGTTCAGGTTACTTCATGAGGGGCTCAACCAGGCTGTTGGGTTACCATTAAAATCAATTAAATATCAAAGTCCTAAAACTGAACCAGCCCTAAAAATATATTAATGTAAAATGTCTAACAAGGTGGGTTTTTGGTTTAGGTAATGATTCACAAACAAAACTGGACTTTGAATGGAAGAAAAAAGCATGTTTAAAGAAGATAAGAAATGTTGACATTAAAGAATTATCATGTTTTCCATCATCCCCTCTCCCTTTAAACAGATTAAAGGGTACAGAGGGATAACATACTGATTTATAACATTGAAATAATTGCTAATGGTTAGATGAAGAGCTTTGATAGCTATATTTTTTAATGATTAGTAATTATAGTCAGTGAAGGAGTACAGCTGAGGTAACATTTAGGCCAAGGTCTTACTGGCATAAATATGGTTTTGCCAATTCTTCTTTTACACAGAATTGCTAATTGACTTAAATGCTGACTTGATAATGCTATGCTGAATGTTTTGGGGTGAAAATACACAAACCAGTAAAATCAAGAAGCCATTTTACTGGGAAGATCTAGGACAGAGTGATACAAAATGATTCCATGACACTGAAACTGCAAAACAAGCCGAAAAAAATGCAGAATTTGAGTAACTGAAGCCTGACCATGCATACTGCACGTGTAATCTAAAACTCAAAGGGTTGATGTGTTAAGAGCCAATTTGATAAAGGTTTCTTAATTTGTAATGTAAATATACAGACAGTCCCTGGGTTACGTACAAGATAGGGACTGTAGGTTTGTTCTTAAGTTGAATATCTATGTAAGTCGGAACTGGTACATATTGTACCCCAGGTGTCCCCAATTCAGCCGCTGCTGAAACTGACCAGCGGCTGACTACAGGAAGCCCGAGGCAGAGCTGCTTTGCCCCGGGCTTCCTGGAATCAGCCGCTGATCAGTTTCAGCAGCAGCTGACTTGGGGACGCCTGGGTTTCTTAAGTTGAATCTGTATGTAAGTC